ACGACAATTGTAGAGTGCATGGTTCACCACATGATCTCTTCCAAAATCAAATTCCAAAATCCTTCAAATCCTCTCTCCTCCTTCTCCTATCCTTCTGCAAAAGGTGCTTTAGTTTCTTACAGAAACTGCAGAACCTTTCGCAAAATTTGTAAACCAGCTCATAATTACTACAAGGTCGGTGCACTAACTTGCCGGTTTGTTCTTGGCGCCCGCCTCCTGGCACGGTTTTTTGATGGGATAGGTTCATGGTAGAGGAATCCCCTATCCAGTTAGCTGGTTACCTCAACAGGGAATATGCACACAATTTGCCCGCTTATTAATCCGAGTTCAAGAAAAACACTTATAAGTCCCCAAGAAACTCATCACAAACTTCCGCCTCACCTTTCCAGACACCTGGGTGGCTCCGAGAAGCAAGGGCACCGTGATGAGCATGACCAATGCCATCCTCCAACTGAAATGATAACATGATTAATTCGAATCTGCTGAACGCATGACGAGATTACGGTCATTTTTACTCAACTCAGAGCCCGTACGAGGTACCGCCTTTTGCTATATTTTTTATTGTATGTATAAAAGTAAAGTAAAAGCGGACACAGAAGTTATGAGTGGTAACCCTCCCGGATTGAGCATGCTGAGCATGTACAGTCATAATCCCCTGGCAAATGATTGGGCCTGTGACAGGGGCAGGGCTGGAGCACTGCCAAGGCTGCCATTCCCTTAGCGATGCGATCTTGAGCTGGCAACAAATGGCAAGAAGGACGATTCTGGCTTGATCCAACTCACCCCCTCACATAGGACCGACCACTTGCAAGGATCATGACTATATGTACATTATCCCAGCAAACGGAATGGCGTGCGGAAGGGCGCAGAACTGAGTACAGGGAAGTTTCGAATCACCTCACAGCCCTTGCATAGATCGTTATTTGAAAACGACGGATCAATACAGAAGTCTGGTAATCTTTGAGCATTTTTTCCCTGCTGAAAGACCGTTCGGAGGCAATTCCGCTTCCTCGGAACACTTTTCACTCACGTCCTGCTGTTGCTTTTACCAAACAAAGTTGATACGAAGAGTAAGAGTCTCTTTTCTGGTTTAAGATCCAAAGCTCTGCACCATAGAACCATGTGAATTGTTGTGATTCTCTACTCATCAAGGCGAAAGCACTGGGTCAGGTAGCTCTGATTATTCTTTAGAGCTGTGGAACAATGCGGCAGCACTCCCTTAAGATAGAAACCGATGTGAGGTTCCACCAATGAAACTTTCCGAATGACTGAGAGGATCTAGGGCCGAGTTCTGCTCTTCTCAATACCGTTCCTTTTATTTCGCCTCCATTTCCACTTCAATTATATTGCATATAGAGGCGAAAGTCTTCAATGTTATTTTACATAGCTAGCCTTTTACTTTCTAGATGTTGACTCATGTGGTCGGGTGCAAGGATGCACAGAGGGCAATTGCTCATCCACTGGCCTCCTCACGTGATCTTCTTCTAATGGAGTTAGCCCACTAATTTTGCGAAAAGGCCGATCCAAGGGTCGTTGTAAAACATTTCGGCGCCAGTTTTGGCCTGGTGTTGAGCCACTAAATTGGTTACTCACTGAAGGTTCGGACCAGGGCCCATCAGCATCGTTTGTGTGTAACACATATGGGGGTTGTATTTTCGGCTTGCGGGATGGGGTCGCATATGGTCAGTTGTTGGGGGGGGGGATGGGTCGTGTTTATGGTTCTGAGAGAAGTTTGCCGATTAGAAGAAAATATTCACGTTGTTGACTTTTTCGCGGGATTTTTACTGATTTCTTATACATATGCCCACGTTATTGCCCGTGTTCACGTATAGGTCCGCAATGATGAGGACTGTATATGCCCATATGCCCCTTCTCCTCCTCCCCCGCTCGATGGAAAATTTTTATGTGAGAAACTGGAAAATGTGGGAAACTGGTTGGTAGGTATTGGGGGGGGGGTCGTACCCAGACTCTCATTTAGGTGAAGGGTCGTACTGCCCTCCCTCGAGAGGGGGGGGGGCAGTACGAGCCTCTACCTAAATGAGGGTCAGCCAGCATTTCACACATTACGATGCTGTACCCTGTCCTCGAAGCAGTTTCTTTGTTGAAAACATTTCCCCATAGGCAGTTTGACTCCCGAACACGATTATCAAGGTGGGGGGGGGGGGGTGGGGAGGGGTGGACCTTCACCGCCATTTCACACTTCACGATGTTGTACCCTGGCACGGACAAGCCACCTTGTGAAGTCCAGTAAACTCCTGAAACTTGTGGCTCACTTGTATCACTACGCAGCTTCACAGACGTTTACGGATCTCATCAAAGTGAAGCTGTTACCCTTATCCCTACCTAGCCGAACAAATTTCATTTAGCTGGACAAATTTTTTTTTGTCAAGTATGCAGGATTACTCTATTTCTATTTCTTCTACTCATGAAGGGCAAGATCTCTTTCAGATTGTTGACTGTGCGCTCTTCGAATGAGATAAAGCGTAGCATCTTATTTGCTGTGGTCTATTCAATGAAAGGAACCTTTAGAGATGCACACTTTATTTCACTTCCGTTAATTTTTGATTGAAGTCAAGCTGCCCACCAACCTGCTCATTTTCATAGTAAGTGCTCCAGTTTGCTGCTGATCAAACCACGTCATGTCCTGACGCATAACTGCTCGAAGGTATTTGGCTCGAATTGAATGCACCCGCCGTTCACACATCGTGTATAAGCTCGCATTCTGCAAGGTTGAACAAAGTTTCAAGGTAACTCCATAGTACATATGTATACGTTGATGACGAGTGGACCATCTGATCCAACTTCTCTAGTGTTAAGCACACATTGAACAGTTTGTTGTATTTAGGAACGTTATAAATTACTCATAGGCAGAAACTCTGTAGTTGTGAGTGGCTCCACTTACAGCTACCAATATAGGTGTTACTTGCCCGAGCCTACCAAAATACCGCTTATGAGAAGATTAGTCGGATAGATGAATCCCTTGTTAGAGCAAGCTATAAGTTGCCGTCTTCGGCCCCGCATACGAAGCGGACCTGTCTCCTCAACTTCATCCCTCTCCTTCTTGCCCACCTTGTTTGGGCTTCCCCAGCCTCTGGTGTGTTCTGGGACCGATTCACAGTTTTGGGTCGAACACTTCGGTGCATGCCGTGCCCCCTCCTTGTCCGCCTTTCTTGTGCCATCCGCTGACTTCTTGTTGACGATAATCCAATTTTTCCCGGTTTCTAGAGTGCTCTGGAACCGAACTGCAATTTTTTTTGAATAAGTGTGTTCTGATCTTGTGTGGGCGGGTCTCCTCACAATACAGGCATGCTCAACTCTCACCAGATGTTTCTTTTCTTCATCGACAATGCTCCGGTCTCCAAACACTCCAAATAGTGTACTACGGACTTCTTTGGGAAGAATCGTTCATCTCAAAAACGTCCCGCTCGAGGGGTGCCTCCCCCCATTTGGCCCGTCAACCCTTGCTAGAGTTCCCAACTCTTCCCTCTGGGCTGCTCTGGAACCAAGTTATGAATTTTTGTCCACGACACCGCTCACTTTACCTCGTGTCCCGCCCACTGTGGACAGGCTTCGCGTAAGTCTCTTGCCTGATACCCTGCCTATAACAGCTCCGACCCGAGCTCTGCAAGTTACCCTTCAGGTAGAGCCGTATACCAGGACAAAGAGTAATTAACCTAGCAAATGATTTATAGCAGGGATATCGATGGAGGCGTACTTTGACTAGATTTGATATGATTTGATTGGTGTTCATGGTCTCCACTACAGAAGAATAGTCTTCGCACTCAATTTATGTCTCTCCCCACTTGGCTTTGAGTTGGATTTTATTGGAAAAACTAAGCATAAGAAAACCACTACTTTGAACACTCTTTTGACGTGAACTCTTTCCCTTTCTCCTGTGGCACTTTCTTCCAACGCAGAGCTTTGTCTGAGAGTCTCAGCAGGCGTGCTGACCTATGTTCCGTGCAGAACCGACAAACCCACAAATGCACCGGTCGGTGATTGTTTACGGTGAGAGCAGCTGTTTTCACTCAAAACCTACGGCTGAATGGGGCTTTTTCACGTCCCCAAGATCCATACGGTAGAGGGAAGTTCTTATGGGTAGACCTAGTTGTCCTTCCCTTCTTTACCAAGAGTCAGTTTTCGTTTTCCAGAAAGACAACGGAGGATCAGAGTGAAACAGTATGAAAAATATGGATGAACATCGAAAAATAGCAAAACATTTCTGTAACCAAACTAATGCAGATATGAGAGCAACTTGATACAGTGAATGTTCTCACCGAAATGTATCCTATTGCCAGAAGGGCCATGCCGAGAGCAAAGTAGAGGCCACAATAGAACAGTACATTTGAGGAGAAGACCTCCATATCGAGCTCATTCCTCGAATGATTCCTTTCACCAGCGATGAGGGTGTCTGCCATTCCTAAACGGAATCATTTTCGCGTATCTCGAGAGATGTTTCATTTACAGTCAATCTCCGAAACCTGCTTAAAAGGGAGATAGCAGTGGCGTTTTCGAGTTTCAGGACTTAGTTGCACCAACTTGCTAGTTGTACTGATTTAACGAGAGTTGGGCACAGTTCAACTCGGTTGGGGTACCTAATGATGCTCAGCGAAGTTTGCCAGACCGGTGTGAACAAATAAACACTCTTCTAGCCGCAGTGGCTTCTCTAG